TCTCGCTTATTTTTGAGTTAATTTTGCAAAAAAACTAGTTAAATCAAGCGAAATAAATGAAATAATGTCAAATTTAATTTATTTTCGTGATTTTTTAACATGTTTGAACAAAATTTTGCAAAATAAATAAATTTTGATTTGATTTTAAAAACACTCTGAAAAGAAAAAAAGCATCATTTTTGACCAAGTTTTTTAATTTTTGGTCTGTTTTTAACGAAATTTCGCGAAATAATTGCGTTTGTATAATCATTCCAATGTGCATCAAGTAGGTTGTAGAAGTCTAAATGCATCTTTAATTTAAAGGCCCATCTACACAAAAAGTGTCATTAATGTCATTCAAAACAAATTTAATCACATCATTATTGACAAACACCCATGGAGGTTGTGTTTTTTAGTTTTTTTTTACTAGGTCCATGCAAAAACCTTTAAGTTTGCCACTCTATAGTCGTTTTCATATTAATATGCATCGAAGTAGTCGTTGAAAGGAATCATTTTAAGTTGGCTATCATGCGAAAATTGAAGCAAACCTAATCTCAATCCTCCCTAAAACTGTGTACCCCAGTTTTTGAGGAAGCAAAAAATAATTAAAGCTAACAACGTAAAGATTTTTGTCATTTTTTGATGTGATTAAATTTGTTCTGAATGACACTAATGACACTTTTTGTATGAATCGGCCTCTAATTTAAAGATGCATTTAGACTTCTACAACCTACTTGATGCACATTAATATGAAAAAGAGTATATTTTAATTATTTTCTTGATTTTAATTTTTTTTTTCTACGTGGAGTACGCATTTATTTAAAAAATAATTTTTAGGGAAGATTGAAGTTATGGTTGCCACCTTAAAAGGATCCTTTTCAACCACTACTTCGATGCACAATAATATGAAAACGAGTGTAGTTGAAAAACGTACTAAAAACTTTTTGGTTTTATCTCAAAAACAAACAAAAAAACACCATTTTTGATCAAATTTTTGCCAGCTTGTCATAATTTTTAATAACATTTGAAAGGGTCAATGGTGACTTTACATTTTTGCTTAAATGGCCTGTGACGTTACTTTTTATGTGAAGTTGGCAGTACCAAGTCTATTTGGCAACACTTAATATTTTCCAGTGAATGTCAAATAATATAATTTTTGATTTAAATTTGTTGATTTTTTGGTTTGTTTTAACGAAATCTCGCAAAAATCTGAAATTTTGTTTTCTCGCTCATTTTTGACTTAATTTTGATTAAAAGCTAGTCAAATTAAGGGAAAGAGACAAAATAACATCAAATTTAATTTATTTTAGTGATTTTTAAGCATGTTTGAACATTTCGAAAAATAAATAAATTTTGGTTTGATTTTACAAACATGCTTAAACACCCGGAAAAGGCAAAAAAAATTTGCCACCTTAATTCATTAAAAAATATGAAAGGGCAATGGTGACTACATTTTTGCTCAAGTGGCCTGTGACTTTACTTTTCATGTGAAGTTGGCAGTAACAAGTCAATTTGGCAACACTGAATATTTGACAGTCAATGTTGCTAACTTAACTTCAAATTAAATATTTTTTGATAATAAAATTTAAAAGGGTGATTGAGGCGCAATCGGACAAGAAATTCATCGACGATAAAGACTACTACGGCAACAAGCGTCTCGAGCTGGCCGGCTCGCTGCTCTCCCTCATGTTCGAAGACGTTTTCAAGCGCTTCAACTGGGAACTAAAATCCATCGCTGAGAAAACCATTCCGAAAATTCGAGCGACTCAATTCGATGTTGTCAAATATATGCGTTCGGATCTGATCACGAATTGTCTCGTTTACGCAATCTCGACGGTAGCCAATCACAAATCGCCACGATTCGACTTCTGATTGGTCGGTTTCAGGGCAACTGGACCATCAAACGGTTCCGAATGGAGCGGTTAGGTGTCACTCAGGTGTTGTCACGTTTGAGTTACATTTCATCTTTGGGGATGATGACTCGAGTTAATTCACAATTCGAGAAAACGAGGAAAGTGTCAGGGCCGAGGTCGCTGCAGCCGAGCCAATGGGGGATGTTGTGTCCCAGTGACACCCCCGAAGGAGAGGTAATTCTAAAGTCTGTTTTTTTCTAAATGGAAATTACCAAGTCAAAATTTTGGTGTAAAAATTGGTAGCAGCTTGTCTCTATAGCCACAAATTTGGTTTGCTCTTTGTTTTTGTCCCTAGAAATTTTGTTAAAAAAATATGGTTATGTGTTCAAATTGAGATGTTGTCAAAATTTTGACTTCTATGAATCTTGTGTGTCTGTTTGCTCTTTGAAAGCGCTATAATTGAAACTCTGAGGACACACATTATTACCTAAGGTCCAAAGACAGAATTCAGTGCTAATAATTTTGACAGAAACAAACCGCAAGTAAGTACAATGTTGTGGACAAAAATGAGGTTCTTGCTAGAAAAACTTTGAAGAAAAAGGATGTTTATACGGAAAAAAGTTATTTAGCAAAAGATACAAGTAGGTATTATGATGATTGGCAATAAATTTTGTGTAATTTATTGAAATGAGTTCAAAGTTGATGCATTTGATAAATTTTTCTTCAGGTTTAGTGTCAAAATTGTTACTTTTTCAACTCGTTCCTCAAAAAGGATGCACAAGACACTAATTTAATTGAATTCTTTCCGAGGTTCTTTCTCATTCATGCTTATTTTGTATTCTTGTCAATTTTTTGATAAAAATTAAGAATGTTTAGCAAACCTGCATTACAAATTGCGTCTACATTTTAACAGGCCCTTTTTCTAACATTCTGCTTGCGAACTATTCGTTTCCAAATTTCTAAAAACTGTTAGCAGTACCGAATTTGTTCCTTTTTTGGTGTTTCTTCTCTAAATTTTCTTACACGATTTTTTGTGTTTACTTTTAATGACATTGTTTTCAAATTAATTCAAAAAACCGAAACTGCCAACTTCCTTTATTAAAATTACCATGAATGAATTTACGGGTGGTGCCAACGTTAGGACTGTTTGGCATTTCTAATAAAAAAAAAAAACAGACTTTACACCTTTTTCAAGTGTAATTCAGAAACCATCACAGTAATTCAGATTAGTCAATTTAGTTTCAGAAAGCGTAAATTAAAATTTAGATTAGTCAATTGTCTTTCAGAAAGTGTTAATTGTAATTCAGAAGAATAAAATAAGTTTCAGAAACCATGAGATGTAATTCAGATTAGTTAATTTAATTTCAGAAAGCATACATTGAAATTCAGATTAGTCAATTGTATTTCATAAAGTAATAATTGTAATACAGAAACCATTAGATGTAATTCAGAACAGTAGGTAAATAATTTCATTTCATTCAATTTCATGTTACATGTAATCCAGATAACATCAATTGTAATTTATATGAGTAACTTACTGTTATCTCAAAATGAAGTTTACACATTCTTTTTATTTTCACAATTAAAGAATTACATAAACTTGCCATTTTGCAAAATAAATAAGATATTTTATTTTTAAAGGAATTTTCGTAATGTAATTTTTAAATAAAAATAACGAATTCTCAATTACAAATGACAAACTCTGAATTATAACTAACACTTTCTGAAATACAGTTGACTGAATTTCAATTTATGCTTTCTGAAGTTAAATTAATTAATCTGAATTACATCTGATGGTTTCTGAAATTTAGTTTACGGTTCTGAATTACAATTAATACTTTCTGAAATACAATTGACTAATCTAAATTACAATTAAAATTTTCTGAAATACAGAGAAAAATGCCATATAAGGTAGGATACAAGGAACATGGTAAAAATGTTAAAAAAATTGTATCTATAAAAATTTCGAAGTTATGAGGGTTTAAAGTTTGCACTTTGACTCTATTTATTTCTGTTGGAAAAATAAATTTTTCAAGTTTTTTTGCTATAGGCTATTAAAAGAGGACACAAGAAAGCTATATCCTAAATTGTAACTCTGTTCAATGTTATTTGTGGCTTTTATTGGCAAAATTTTTGTACCTTTATTAAATAATTGTAAAAAAACGTATACCGGGTGGGGCATCGGTTACGCGCACTTGATAAATCGCGACTTCAAATTAATTAAAACTGGCGATATTTCATATACCTAACTAATTATTGATAGGGTATAATTTGAGAATTTTTCTAATTTTTTTGGATAATAAATGAGTCCGTAACAGTTTTGTGTGTTTTATGAATACTTTCTGTTAATTTACCTCTAAAGTTTTTACACTAAATGAATCTGTACCTGTCAGCGACTTGGTTAGCCAAATAATCGCTTTTTTTATTTAAACACAAACCAGACCCGTGATTTATGACAAAATGGTAATATTTGCCAACGAAAGAATCATTTACTGGTAGCCGACCGGTTTTGTCTTTTTGTTGTAAACCTTGGAATCTTACCCCAATTGCAACCTAAATTTACGATGGCACAAGTAGCAGGTCATAAATAAAAATGATTTTCAAAGTTAAGATGGAAAATTGCGTTTAATTCAAAATCTAATTGGTATTTTTTTTCTGATTTTGTAAACAATTGTAGGAAGTGAATCTGCGTAGGTCAGTATAAAAATTAGAATTAAATTTTTTGGGAGAAAACTAATTTTTATTTTTTTTTTTTGGCTTTGTTTGTGAATGAAAAATTACCAAAAAATTAGAGAATGTACCTTACTAATGCCCAGGTAAGTGTGAAAAAATTCAACAATTTTATTTAATTAGAAGTGGGGATTTTCTTTTTGGGCGTAACGGATGCCCCACCCGGTACAAGATCATCAGTATCATTAAATAAACATAAAAAAATGTCAAATGTCAAAAAATAAATGTCAAATTTTTTTAAACATTTTTTTCATGTTCCTGGTATCTTACCTCTGGGGCGCGAGTTCTGGCGCATCCTGTATATCTCACGCTTCTGAATTAGACTTGAAGAAGGTGTAGTACACGAATGTAGCCTGTGACGTCAAATTTACATTAGTTTTGTTTTTTTTTTTGTTGCTAAGTTGGTGCTTCCAGGCTTGCGGATTGGTGAAGAACCTGGCTTTGATGACGCACATCACCACCGAGGTGGACGAATATCCTCTAATCCGATTGGCCAACAACGCCGGAGTGGTTGATATTAACATGTCATCAGGAATGGCAATCCACTCACCTGAGACTTTTTTCGTTTTTTTGAACGGTAATATTCTGGGGACGATTCGCAACTACAAGAAACTCATTCGGACGTTTCGGATGTTACGACGTTCGGGGATCATTTCCGGTTACGTTTCCATCTACCCGAACTTTTTGCATCGTTGTGTTTACATTAGTTCAGATGGAGGGCGCTTGTGTCGCCCTTACATCATAGTCGAACAAGGGCGTCCTCTAGTGACACAACAACATATAATCGAGCTTGAGAAAGGTATTAGGAGTTTCGAGGATTTCCTCCACGATGGTTTAATCGAATTTCTTGATGTTAATGAGGAGAATGATAGTTTTATTGCTTGTTATGAGAAAGATATCATTGAGTTGACAACACATTTGGAAATTGCGACTTTTACTTTGTTGGGGGTTTGTGCCGGTTTGGTGCCCTACCCCCACCATAACCAATCACCGAGGAATACATACCAATGTGCTATGGGTAAACAAGCAATGGGTACCATCGGTTATAACCAAAGAAACCGAATGGACACACTTTTGTATAGTCTTGTTTACCCACAAGCCCCTATGGTGAAAACAAAATCGATCGAATTGAGTAACTTTGATAAGCTTCCAGCCGGTCAAAACGCTACTATAGCTGTCATGAGCTACAGTGGTTACGACATAGAGGACGCTCTTATCATAAATAAAGCTTCAATAGATCGGGGCTTTGGTCGGTGTCTCGTCTACAGAAACGCCAAATGCACGATGAAACGCTACGCGAATCAGACTTTTGATCGCATTCAGGGCCCTTTAATCGACACCAACACAAACGCCCCCTTGTGGAAACACGCAATACTAGACATGGACGGTATTGTAGCCCCTGGAGAGTCAGTAGAGAATAAACAAGTCCTAGTTAATAAGTCAGTCCCGACGGTTTCAAACCAAAGTACTTCAGTCGAGTACAAAGACACCCCAATTAGCTACCGAAATAACGAACCCAGCTATATCGAGAAAGTTTTAGTCAGTACGAATGAGGAAGACACCACTATAATCAAAATTTTGTTGAGGCAGACTCGGCGCCCCGAAATCGGAGACAAATTCAGTTCGAGACACGGTCAGAAGGGGGTTGTGGGGTTGGTCGTGGAGCAAGAAGACATGCCGTTTAATGAGTACGGGATTTGCCCCGATATTATTATGAACCCGCACGGGTACCCCTCGCGGATGACAGTCGGAAAATTGATTGAGCTCCTGGCTGGAAAAGCGGGGCTTGTTGAGGGGAAATTCCACTACGGGACGGCTTTCGGTGGCTCGAAAGTCACCGATGTGTGTGAAGAGTTGGCAAAGCATGGGTTTAATTACCAAGGGAAGGATTTTTTCTACTCGGGAATCACAGGGGAACCCCTCGAGGCGTACATCTATTCCGGGCCTGTCTACTACCAGAAGCTCAAACATATGGTTCAGGATAAAATTCATGCGAGGGGGCGGGGACCGCGCGCTGTATTAACAAGACAACCGACTGAAGGTCGGAGCAGAGATGGAGGTCTCCGACTCGGTGAAATGGAACGTGATTGTCTTATAGGATATGGGGCAAGGTGATTTAGTTATTTTAATTGATTGTGGTGAAATATGTATTTTTTTCAGCATGATGTTGGTAGAACGGTTAATGGTTTCAAGTGACCAGTGTGAAGTTGACGTTTGTAATCAGTGTGGCCGACTTGGGTACTGCGGTTGGTGTAATAGTTGTAAGAGTTCAAGGGAAGTTTCAAGTATTACAATGCCCTATGCGTGTAAATTACTTTTAACCGAATTGCAAGCCATGAATATCACAGCGAGGCTTACTTTGAATCACTATTGTGAGTAATTTATTGATCAAAACTGAGTTTTCGAAAGTGACATTTGGAAATAAAAATCCCTAAAAATATGGTGTTTCAATTATTAAATAAATAATGGTATTTATTGGCCCTAGGATTGTCTCATTGTTCTACACGGTGTCTCATCCATTACAAAAGACTAATAAGAAAAATTTGAGATAAAAAACAGGTAAAGTGAGAATTTCATAAACGTATGTCTTGCATAGATTGTTATTGTCAAATGATGATAATTAAACTACAGAGAATGGGTGGAGCATTATATTGCTGAGTTTCACCTTGTCTTAAAAAAACGGTTTTAATTTATATTTAACACAGACAAGCGTTTAATAATTTACAAACAATTATTGACACTGACGTATTGACGATATTATTCACGACATACGTTTATTGAACTTTCAGGGCACTTTTTTATTCAGACACTTCTTACGTTCATGATCAGTCTCACACACTGATTTGTGTCACGAATGGTAAAATTTTGCTGCGGATAATAATTCTAATCTTGTTTTGCTTGTCCGGGTCAAGGTTCGCAAGTGGGCGTATCAGAAAATCCGCATTACGGACCTGTCACCTGTCAGTAAATCTAGGGGATTTATCGTTAGAAATTGGCAGTACGAATCCGGTGCTCACCGCGGTTAGGCTAAGGTAATTATTAAGCAATTTTGCACAATTATTACCATTGTTCCTCCTTCGTTATCCACAAAATAGTAACAATTACCCTCTCTTGTCCCTCTTGTACTAAAGCTGGCGGTGTATTACCCCCAAAATCCCCCAAACCCTGCCGTTACATAATCCCCATTACCCCAGGTCCCGATCGATTATCCCAGTTTTTCCCTCAAAACCCTCAACAAATCTAATTTTCCTCACTCCAACTTTTTGTTTTCCCACCTTGGTGAGTTTTCCCCTATTTTGCGCCGAATTTTTTCACTATTTACGTGATTTGACAGCTGCCAAAAATTCGTTTTAAATTTAGTTTTCACGTGACTGTAATTTGGAAATCCGTTCGAACTTTTACATAATGATGGTTTTGGTCACGTCATGAGCGTGAAAGCAGTCCCAAGGTCGCATCATCGAGAAAATTCTAATTGTGAGGTTAGGTTTTAGGATGTACAGGGCAAGAGCGATCGTAAACAGCCTCACCGGAGTCCAGGGACACTTCGCGGGGTGGCTCCTCGTCAAGAACACACCGGGGGTGCTTAGCTGCTCGACGGTGAGGAGCTACAATGTGCCCGCCGCCTCCGAACCCTTCCTGAATGGGAGCTCCAGCCAGTATGTGGAGGACATGTACAATGCCTGGCTGGCGGACCCCTCGAGCGTCCACGCGGTGGGTATTTATTCAAAACGATTGTTAGAAAATCGAGAAAATTTACATAATTTTTCACCGATCATTATGGACTGTCAACGTCCTTTTTTCGGGTCAGATATCGGAAATGGAACAAAGTTTAATAATTGCAGGTGATAAAAAATTATCTTTGTTTTGGTTGTTGAGATATTAATCTGAATGCAATTGCTAAACTGAAAGTTTTTTTTTAACGGAAATATCAAACAGTTTTATCGTTGGCACTATAAGGAAATTGGTTATTTTAATGAGGGAAGTTGGTAGCTCCGGTTTTTGATTTAATTTGAAAACAGTATGTCATTGAGCGTTAGAAAAAAAATGTTAAATAAAATTTGGGGATATAGAGATAAGGTGTTATTATTTTTTTCACCTAAATTTTGACTTGGTGATAAGAAATTATCTTAGTTTTGGTTGTCGAAATACTATTTGGCTGAATAGAAGGTTTGATAAACTGACAGTTTTTTTTATAAATTAAAATTTTTACTTTTTAAGTGCGTCTAGACGTTGTTTACAGAATGAAAAAAATTGATAAGAATTATTTTAAGTTGATTAATTATATCAGAGGCTTATCTAATTAGGGAAATTTTATTTTAGTCATGGGATTCGTTCTTCCGGAATTCCGCCTCCGGCGGGGCCGGTTACCAATCGCCCCCATCTTTAGCCCCCCTTGGCCGAAACGAAGTTCCTGTAACTTCGTTCTTGCCGGCTTTGGGCGGTGCCACCGGTACGGGGGCTGTCAGCGACAAAGTCATCGACGATCATTTGGCCGTTCAAGCGATCATCAGGAGTTATCAGGTAAAAATCGTAAATTTTTACAATCTGGGATCGTTTTATAATATTTGTTGCACCGAATTTTCTTTTTAATTGGCAAAAATGATTGTTGCTTTATCATTCGCGATAATTAATAGTGATATCATTAGGCACGTGGTCATCTAGTTGCTCAACTGGATCCATTGGGTATCATGTATGGTGATCGTACTACGACAATTAGCGATAGAAAGGGCTCTCCACCTGATGAAATAACGCGTCAACATAAATTAGGTACGACCCCCTCAAAAAAAAAACACATTAAGGGTCGTAACAGTTTGAAACATAATCAAGATTTATTTAACAAATAACAGCTTGCTTTGTTGCTTTTTATTTTTGTTTGGGTTTTTTTTTTTTTGGTGTGTGGTGGTTCTTCTAACCGTTTCAAGGCAAGTAGAATTGACAACAAATCGGTGGTGTAATAGTAGAAAAAATAAGAGTACACGTGCTTGAGGTGCACTATCAGTAGAATTTTAAGTGCAAAGTACACAAATTTGAGATAAGAGTGATTTGTTTTAGTTTGGCGAAATTTTCTTCTGTGGAATTTTACATAAATTAATATCAGGGAATGTGTTTTGTTATCATTTTTTTTAACAAGCATGAATGGTTACACAATTTTGTTCATTATAGCGTAGTTGAGAATTAACTCCGAGACTTCAACTCTCAACAGAGTAAATTAATAATGACATGAGAAAATGATAAATTTGTCAAAATCGTTCAGTTAATTGCAATTTTAAAATTAAAAATCGCTATCAAGATTCAATACGTTCAATTCCGGTTTATTTTAAGAGTAAAAGACTGTATTTCATTTATTTTATCCTCCATGGGGATAAAGCGTCACTTTATTCCCTCTTGGGAGGAAAATCAATGATCTCACAACATAAACTATTAGATGTGTCATTTGTAATCTTTCGTGTGTTGGCGATCGACTACAACCATTAGAGAAAGAAAGTAAAAATGGGAAATGCCGTTGCTTAAACAAAGATAGAGATAATTTACCAGTCACCTTTGGTATAACAAGAAAGGTGTTCAAAACAATTGTTATAAATTTCTCTTTTATTTTAAATGTTTTTGGACAATTTTTTCCAATTTTATCTGTTTCCGCCTTATATTTTATAAATAGGCAACCAATAATACAATAATTTGTTAATTTCTTGTTGTTGTTCCCATTATTATACATTGAGTTTTGAATTCAAATTTTTTTGAAGTTTTTGATAGTCAAGCATCGATTATGTTTATTCGATTTGGAATAATTAATACTCTACACAAAATAATTTATGAAATGTATAATATGTTGCCTATTTTTACTCCTTCAGGCGGGAACCGATAAAATGGGCAGCCTGTATTGTGTGAAATAAAAAAAAATATGAACGTTTTGAATTTTTAATGAAATGATTTGAGGTGGTTAAAATGTGTGTCTTCTATTATGCCACCCTGACACGTGGGCACCTATCGCTTTTGTCACAATACAATTTTCAAATTTGTAAGATACAATGTAGATAGAGGTGTTGGCTCTCGATTTTAGATCAGAGGACATCACATAGCTAAACTGGACCCGTTGGGCATCAACAGTGCCGATTTGGACGACAGGACACCACAGGAATTGCTCTATTCCCATTACAGTTTCGGTAAGAATACTAATATTATTAATAATAATTAAATAATACGCTCAAAAAATCGGCTTTCTATTCATCGGCATGAGTTTTTCGTTTTTTTGTTTGTTTTTTTTTGTTTAATACATTGTTTTGCTGTTTTTTTAATTTGTTTGGCGTGTTTTATTAACTCAGACAGCCCCTCGAGGACCTATTCTGGAGAATTGAAGCGCCAGGTCCAGCAGTTCATGAAACGTAAGGCTAATTTTTGTTTTTTTCTTTGTTAAAATCATCAGTTTTTGGTGACGGTGTAAGTTAAGTATTGAGTTTCTTGTAAATAGCTTTGTTTTATTTTGTAGCGCTATTTTTTGTTAATTTTCTTCGCTTTTTCTAACATTCTAAATGCCCGAAATGTTTCAAGCTGAATGATACGACAAAAGTTTAAAACAACTTTATTTATTTCAATTTGTGAATTTTGTGCTAACTTCCGATTAATGTAGAGGATGACGACATGGATCGGGTATTCAAATTACCATCAACGACTTTCATCGGTGGCAAAGAAAAACAATTACCTTTGCGTGAGATTCTTCGTCGTTTAGAATTGACTTATTGTCGTCATATCGGTGTCGAATTTATGTTTATCAACAGTTTGGAACAATGTAATTGGATAAGACAACGATTGGAGACTCCCGGTGCTATGGAGATTAGCGCCGATGAGAAACGATTGATTTTGGCCCGATTAACACGAGCCACGGGGTAAGTACCAAATATTTTGAACTTTAAAGGAGAGATCAACTTTCAAAATACATTTTTTTTATGATTCGTAACAAAAATTTGAAATTCTGGGACGAAAGATTTTTTTCAATATCTTAAAAATTGAGTAAAATATAATTTTTTTGATTATTTGGTGTATGAAGTGATGATTATTCGATTATTCAACAGAGACAAAATTAAGTTTTTATTTATTTCAGATTATTGCCCGTTCTTTTCTGAATGAGGACAAATTTGTTTCAAAATTTTATCTTCTAATGCCCCAGAGATACAAAGCATTGAAAAAGACGTTGCTTTTCTAATGTTACTAAATATTCGTTCAGTAGGCTACATAAAAAGTTAGTTAAACCGAAAATTATTGCTTATGTCACCAAAAGAGCACAATTACTTACGTCTTTGAACACAAAAAATCTGAAAAACTTGAAATTGGAAATGTAAGGCTTTTTTTGAAGGTTTACATCTCTCATGTCTCAAGAATTAAAATTATGGAAAATGTGGTACACATTCAGAAAAGAATGGGCAATAATCTGAAATCACTAAAAACTTAAGTTTGTCTCTGTTGCACACCACAGCTCAGTACAAAAATAAGTAAAAAAACTGTGCCTTCTTTTTTTATGTATCACAATTAGAAGACAAAACTTGAAATGTTATTGAATTAAATTACAATGATCTACAAAGTTTTTTCTTTAAGCCAAACAAAAATTCGTCGAAATCCGACAAAGAATAACAAAAATATTTCATTATGAAAAATCGCAAAATTTTAGTTGTCCGGAATTTTGGCGGCAAGTGTAAATGTGGTTATAGAATATGACGTTTCCATGCTTTATTTCTATTTTCCAATTCAATGTCAATATTCAAACTGATTTAGATAAAATAGGGAAGTTGTACCGGGTGGGGCATCCGTTACGCCCAAAAAGAAAATCCCCTCTTCTAATTAAATAAAATTGTTGAATTTTTTCACACTTACCTGGGCATTAGTAAGGTACATTCTCTAATTTTTTGGTAATTTTTCATTCACAAACAAAGCCAAAAAAATAAAAAGTTGTTTTCTCCCAAAAAATTTAATTTCAATTTTTATACTGACCTACGCAGATTCACTTCCTACAATTGTTTACAAAATTAGAAAAAAAAATACCAATTAGATTTTGAATTAAACGCAATTTTCCATCTTAACTTTGAAAATCATTTTTATTTATGACCTGCTACTTATGCCATCGTAAATTTAGGTGACAATAGGGAACTGCAATTGGGGTAAGATTCCAAGGTTTACAACAAAAAGACCTTTTAAAGCGGTCGGCTACCAGTAAATGATTCTCTTGTTGGCAAATTATTCCATTTTGTCATAAATCACGGGTCTGGTTTGTGTTTAAATAAAAGAAAGCGATTATTTGGCTAACCAAGTCAAAATTTGAAATTGTGATATCAAAGTTTGATGCGCTGACAGGTACAGATTCATTTAGTGTAAAAACTTTATAGGTAAATTAACAGAAAGTATTTATAAAACACACAAAACAGTTACGGACTCATTTATTATCCAAAAAAATTAGAAAAATTCTCAAATTATACTCTATGAATGATTAGTTAGGTATATGAAATATCGACAGTTTTAATTAATTTGAAGTCGCGATTTATCAAGTGCGCGTAACCGATGCCCCACCCGGTATTGTGCAGAGTAGTCGCCATCATTGATTATATTTTATGCGTTACTTATGTTACAGATTTGTCAACAAGAAATTACCACCTAGGATTTGAACTTTTAGGAAAATTACGTTTTTCATGTTGTTTGTAACTAGAATTTTCAGAAGTAGTTTTGTATGCCTAAGGTTGTTACCCCTTGTTGTTGTCAATTGACGTTTTCTGTCAACCTGCTGTAAATTTTCAATTAAATTATACATACAACCTGACAGGTGACTTAACCTAAATTTTGACACTAGTGACGATATCCTTTGTTTGTCACCAGAAACCAACCTAATCAAATTTATGGCAACCTATTCACAAATATCCCTAAATCCTAGGGAGTAATTTCTTGTTGATACGACAATATATGTTAATAATGTCTTTTCTTACATTCTTTTACATTGTCTGATTGTGAACAAACCATCGTATTGAAAGTTATTAATTTGACATTTGGCACCTCGCTAGGAGTATTAAAAATTGTAATCCGTTCACAACAGACTTATATCAACCGCCAACTATGACGACAAATTTAAATAAACGTCCGTTAGTTTCGTTTCCGACAATTATTGTTTACTTAATTATTTATGGATTTATACTCATTTATTAAAAAAATACATTGAATAAATTAATTTTTATATATAAATGCTATTTATTTCAAAAAATGTTATTTATAAATATTATTTTGAAGTCAGGTAAGTAACATACAAAATTTTATTTAAATAATTATTTTTATTGAAACGTATGAATTTAACGCCGTGGTCATCTTGTGATGGTTTAGGTCTACCTACCAAAAATATTCAGGGGAATATGAAACGGATATCTAAACATTTCTTCACTTGTAGACAATTCTATTTCATTCTTGGCGTATTGCATTATTTTATTTGTTAATTTGCTATTTCAATTGTATACGTCTTTTTTTAACCACTGTTTTATCGATTTTGAGAAATTTCAGTACGAATGCTTCAAATTTTTTTTTGCTATTTGTATTGTCCTGATCAATATAACATGGAATGATATGAGAAATGTAGCCTTTTTGGAGCATACTGTGATAACTTTCTAAACAGCCAGTATGACAATAATTTTTTAAATTTAAAAATTGTTTATCCAAAACCACCGACACAATAAAACTTTGTTAACGAAGTAAATCATTGTGAGTGACGTCACAGCAGTTTCACAAAATATTTAATTTTGAAGCTCCCAGGCTAAATATTTCGAATTTAATTTCACAAATGTTCATGTTTTATAACATTGCGTTTATTAGATAAATAAAAAAAATGCATTTTGAAAGTTGATCTCTCCTTTAACGTTTTTTTAACTAAATTTCTTTTAGATTTGAATCATTTTTGGCTCGCAAGTGGTCGTCTGAAAAGCGTTTTGGTCTTGAAGGTTGCGAGATTCTGATTCCTGCAATGAAACAAGTTATTGATAAATCGACGGAATTCGGTGTCGAAAGCATCGTCATGGGTATGCCGCATCGTGGACGTCTCAACGTCCTCGCCAACGTCTGTCGCAAACCTTTGCATCAATTATTTACACAATTTGCCGGTTTAGAAGCTGCTGATGATGGTTCCGGTGATGTCAAGTACCACTTGGGTACCTACATCGAGCGTTTGAACCGTGTCACGAATAAAAACATTCGATTGGCCGTTGTTGCAAACCCTTCACATTTAGAAGCTGTTGATCCCGTCGTCCAGGGTAAAACTCGAGCCGAGCAGTTTTACCGCGGCGATGGCGAGGGTAAAAAAGTCATGTCGATTTTATTACACGGCGATGCGGCTTTCTGTGGTCAAGGTATCGTTTTCGAAACGATGCATTTATCGGATTTGCCTGATTATACCACTCATGGGACGGTTCATATTGTTGTTAATAATCAAATTGGGTTTACCACCGATCCGAGACACTCTCGATCATCGGCGTATTGTACTGATGTGGCACGTGTGGTTAACGCACCGATTTTCCACGTGAATTCCGACGATCCAGAGAGTGTAATGCACGTGTGTAATATGGCGGCGGAATGGCGGGCCACGTTCCATAAAGATGTCGTCATTGACATTGTTTGTTACCGCCGAAATGGGCATAATGAAATCGATGAGCCGATGTTTACACAACCACTCATGTATCGAAAAATTCGTAATACCAAACCGGCGTTGGAAAAGTACTCTGAACAATTGGTTAAAGAAGGTGTAGTAACACAAGAAGAAGTGAAAGATGTGAAAGAGAAATATGAGAAGATTTGTGAAGAAGCACTTGAAAGTGCACGCAAAGAGACACATATCAAATACAAGGATTGGTTGGATAGTCCATGGTCGGGTTTCTTTGAAGGAAAGGATCCATTGAAAGCGAGTCCTACGGGAGTGAAGGAGGATACATTGGTGCATATTGGGAAAAGGTTTTCATCGCCGCCACCAAATGCCGCCGAGTTTGTGATTCATAAAGGTATTGAAAGGATTCTGAAGGCTAGGATGGAAATGGTTGAAGCGAGAACCATTGATTGGGCATTGGGTGAAGCTATGGCTTTTGGGTCGTTGCTCAAGGAAGGGATTCATGTGAGACTGTCGGGACAGGATGTTGAACGTGGAACATTCTCACATAGACATCATGTTTTGCATCACCAGACTGTGGATAAGGCTACCTACAGGTAGGTGGAATTAGAATTAAAATATTACAATTTTGACACATGACAGTTTACTGTAAAGCAGGCTTTAATGTCAAATTTGACATTTCATAACCTCCAAAATGTCAAATATGACAAGTGACAAGTTGAAAGTGAGGTTACTATCAAAAGGCCCTTTCACATTTAATGATCTTGCTGTTCTAAATAAAATGTGTGTAACTATATTACGTATCACAAAATTTCAAATTGTGTGCACTTAATCAATGTCTTATTATTTTTTAATTTTTTGAGTTGTTTTTTTATTTTTTGTTTTCATCTTTTAAATTTTCCATGATTTTTCCTTTGAATATTATGGTTAGAATAGCAAGCATTGGCTGAAAATTTCATTTTTTGTTGATTAAAAAAGAATATAAAAAAACTTACGTAAAATTCGCCGAAAAATACAGAGGCGTAATTTATGAACAGTTTTGTTTCGACAACATACAAAACGAAATAAATTGTTAATAGAGAAAAAACAGCGTGGATTGAGAAAACGCAAATGAGAATAGTTTTAACGACTTTTAATTGAAAAACGCCACTTGATATAAATTTGAGTATTTTGAAGTAATCATCTGAAATGAAAATTGAGGGACTTGAAAGTGTTGCATTTTTGTACCTTTCATAAGTTTCTTCTTGGTGTAGTTCATTTTAAACGACTTTTGGTAATGTTGGTTATGTAAATAAATTTTTATTTGTTGGACCTATTGGAAATGCTCAGTTTATAATAATCAAGGAATTATTGGATGGGATAATTAATATCTTAGTCATATTTACGCAAAATAAAATATTAACTTTATTGAGTTTAATTTCATTTTAACTACAATATCGATAGTTTTTTTCAAACATTTCATTTAAATTACTATTTATGTAAAAATGATTGGCGACCTTGAAATGACTATTATCATTGCCAAATTGATAAATATTTGATCAGTTTTATTGTCATCAACGTCAACTGACTTTTGCTGAGAAACTAATTCAGTTGAATTTTTTTTCTTATGAACCTTTCTTTGAAGCATTTTAATAATTTTAATTTTTGTCGATGGATCTGAAACCTTCAGGTAGATAAAAATAAATAACTTTCAAAGTTGAAAAATAAAACAGCGTTTCATTTAACAAGCTATTAAAACTTTTTTGCTAATTTTGTAAACAATTATTGTAACAATTTTGAATACAGAATCCAGTTGTTTCGACTAGTGATGAAGTTTTGATGTAATTACTGATACGACTGAATAAATCCCTCTTATAATCTGAAAACAGTAGAATTTATGAAATTAAAAAAAAAACATACAGCCAGTCCAAGTTGATAGTTGATGGAATAGTTTTTACTGGATTTAATTTTACGTTCTTTCATTATATTTATTAAAAATATTAGATACAAATTTTTATTGGATCGATTGAAATTGTACCAACTAATTTTATTGATGGTCATTATTAAATCATTTATCTGAAAGTAATGTTTATTATCGTTTTGCTTTTTTTCTTCTTTTTCATATTTATCTAAAATGAAGTATTAATTTTATTGAGGTAATTTGACTCTAGTTTTGTAAAACAAAAGTGAAATTACCTCAATTAAATGAATAACTTGGGTTATTTTGGGTAAATATTACTAAGGTAGAAACCGTACCATATAATTTGATTATAATTCTAATCCGATTATCAATATTTTTTTCAAACATTTCAACATTTTTAATTATTATTATATTTGACTTAGTGTGCAACGGATTGTGACAATATTTTCTGTACTTAAAACATTATTTTTTTTTTTGCTTTGTGCACCAACACAGGCCGGTCTACTAGTTACGATTTGTGTTCGGTGGTCGGGATTTATTTTCTCTCAATCAAAATTTCTTAAACTCAGCTCGCAGACAAGCGCACGACTCAATTGTCTAACAGAGGTTATGATAAAATGTGCAAGAGATACATTATACCTAGGACAAAAAAATAAGAAATTCAACAAATCTAATTGGATTTCACTAAGCATATAACATATTTTTTATCCTAATTTTTGATCTGAAACTTTCGTTAGATAAAAATAAATAACTTTCAAGGTTTAAAAATAAAACAGCGTTTTATTTAACAAGTTATTAAAACTTTTTTGCTAATTATTATACCTAAGTGTAAAAATTAGAATAATTAGACACAAGTAAATATTTTGATTTCAGTTGTGTGTGATTCGATTAGTGATGAAGTTTTGATGCAACCACTGATACGAATGAATAAATCCCTCTTACAATCTGAAAAAAAAACAGTGGAATTTATAAAATTAAAAAAAAAAAAACATACGGCTAGTCCAAGTTGGTAGTTGATGGAATAGTTTTCAGTGAATTTAATTTTACGGTCCCTCATCATGTTTATTAAAAAAATTAGGTACAGTTTTTTATTGGATTGATTGAAATTGTACCAACTGATTTTATTGAAGGTCATTACTAAATCACTTATCTGAAAGTAATGTTTATTATCGTTTTGCTTTTTTTCTTCTTTTTACCATAGTTTCAACGGTCTGTCCTGACCATATCAGAGTTGAAAACGTCACAATTCCAGCAATTGAAGTAACACTCATTCGTAAATAATATTCCGAAGTAAATTTTCCCTAAAATTAATCTTGAACTTTTGATTTTTCTTTTAAATGACTTACAGTCGACAAGTAGAGCGTTATTCCTATACCTAGAAAAAGTCCACAAATGGCAAATCCCGCAATTAACGAGCCGATTTCTTTATTTTTTGTTAAATATATGCTAAAAGAAACTTAAATATAATTTATAATTTGATGATGTAAATAACAAACTTGATGAACTCCTGCGATCTTCTAATGCAAAATTTTAATTTTCGTTCGATTTCTGTTTGATACTTCTTATCGAAAATTAACCGGTTTTCAAATGATGAAAATGTTTCACATTTGGTGAGTTCAGTTATAACTTCCTTGAACATTTTTAATTGATAATTGACGTGTTGTGTGAAATAAATGCATTGATAGGCATGTACAGTCATCAAATAACTGATAATTGGATAAGTCATTCTGTATAAAAATTCAAGAGTTTTGTTATGATGTGGAAAATTATCACGAATGAAACGATAAGCGAAAAACAAATTCACATCGTCTGATAATTGTTGTACATAGAGGAAACCTGCTATTACTGCAATTAAAGAATTTATTATGACGAAACGTGTTGTGATTTTAATCTTCAGTTTTATTTCGGATTGTAAATCTTCACTTGCATTGTCAATCGACCACATTTTTATTTCATTTTTTAAATTTTCCATCATTTTGCTTTTGAATATTAGGGTTACAATAGCAAGCATTGGCTGAAAATTTAAGTTTTTGGTTGTAAAAAAGATTATAAAGGAAATACTTACGTAAAATTCGGCGAAAAATACCGAAGCGTAATTTATGAAGAGTTTTGTCTCGATGACATACAAAACATAATAAATTGTTAATAGAGAAATAACAGTGTGGGTTAAGAAAACACAAATGAGAATACTTTTAACGACTTTTGATTGAAAAACGCCAGATGCCATAAATTTGAGTATTTTGAAGTAATCATCTGGAATGAAAATTGAGGGACTTGAAAGTGTTGCATTTTTGTTGTACCTTTCATAAGTTTCCTCTTGGTGTAGTCCATATTAAACGATTTTTCAAACTGTAATAAAACATCTCTAGTTATGTCAATTATTTTATTATTAGACATAATCAAAAGCAAATTATTAAACGGTAGGATTGTATTAAAGACATTATGTAAATATATTATTTATTTTTAAAGGTTTCAGCATTATTGCCACGTAATACTCTTCATATGACTGTACTAAAATTAATGTCATTAATGAAATAAAAACTAACAAATTCAATTTTTTTATGAAAAATGTTTAAAAAATTAATTTAATTAATTTAAAATTAATTTTGAATAATTTTTACAATTACGAATTTTTGCGATTCAGAAAATAAAACTATTTTTCTTCACCAACAACTTGTTTCGTTCAAAAACAAGTGACAAATTGTACTAAGTCATCATTAACAGAAAATATCAGCTTAGGTAACTAATTGCTACAAAGGTGCAGGCAAAGCGGTTTATATCAACATGAGACAATGATCACATCGTTTGGAAAAATAAATAACATAACAGAAAATTCGTAACAGTATTTTTGAATAGAAATATTTTGTTTTACAGTATTATAATACAATCGAAATGACTGAATAAATTCCCTTAACAATCTGAAACATAATTGTTAGTGTTTTATTTCAATTTTAAAAATTCACGCGCAGCTAGTCCCAACTGATAGTTGAAAGAATAATCTGGAAAACAAATGTTTAAGAGGAAATAAAATAATAACAAAAACACATGCCATAAGTTTGTATTTGCCAAACTCCATCTTGTTTGGAGTGTAACAAAATATGAAATGATTAAATTATAGTTATAAAAATATAAGATTGAGATAATCTGATTTGTATGCGTTTTTAAGATAAATTACTTTTTCTGAAATTTTTATTTGTGTATTTTATGCCATGGGTTGTTTTTGAATAGATGTAATTGATGTATGTATTGTTGGTTTGATGTATTTATCTATATTGTAAATTCGAAATGATATAATTAATGATTAATTAAAATTATTAATGACCACTAATGACTGTAAAATAAAATTTTAGCTTTGTTTTCTCTGCATAATTATGCGTTAATTTGAAATCAATTAAATATAATTTGCTTTGGTGAAATGAAATTTTGATACTGAGCTAGACTGTTGGTTCGTACTCCATTGTGTAATATGTCCTAAATCAAACTGAATTTTTTGTTTTGTAAAATAAGGTTAAATGTAGTTCATGAAAAACAGCATTTTTCTGCAAAAACACAGTAAAACTCCTAATTACTGTTATACAGGGGGTCTCCCGTTAGGTGAAATGACTGCCTTGGACGTTTTAAAAAAAACAATTTTTTGTAAAGTAAAATGCTTTTTATGTGGCAAAGTTGTTTAAAATTAACATATAGGCAAAATTTTAAAACCATCGGACAATTATGATTTTTCTTTTTTTTTTACAAGATAATTTTTAGTAATAAATACGTTAAAAGTTATTTAGTGGTAATAATCTAAGTGTAACATTTTTTTCATTTATAATAAAAGAACTGTTAAAAAATAAAATTTATTGATGAATTGTGTAATGAACATAAAAATAAAAAAATCATAGTTTTGAAATTTGGTATAGGGCTTAAATGTGGATTCCATACAGCTTTTTGACGTTTTTACTACGTAAAAGGCACTTTACAATAAAATAAGCTTCTTAGAAATTTGTAAAGCATACTTGATTTTATAAATTGTAATTTTTAACCAAGCAGGGCTGAACCCCAAAAAATAAAAATTTAAATAGAGATTTTTTTATCTTTTACAAATGTCGTTTCACTTATCCTGGGACATACTGTATATTTATTTGCTAGGTTTTATAAAAGGTAATAAGCTAATAAGTGTTGCAGAATTTATTATTGAATAATAATTAGTAATAATAATTTAATTTTGTGTTTTATGATATACATATGTACTCGTATGTAGTAGTTAAATGTGCATTTAGTGAAATTGAAATAGATAAGATGGCTTCTATTATTCCAGAATTGTGCTAGATTTATTAATTAATTTTTTCTTTTATGCATGCATATTTAGTACAACCGATAGGACTGAATAAACTCCTCTAACAATCTGAAAAAAAGTCAATATCTTATACTGGGTGAGTCATCTATAATAAAGATCCTAACCGATTTGCAGACTCAATCCAAAATACATTCTCACAAAAAACTTGGCTTTTGTTGTGTTTAAAAAAAAGTTGATTATTAAATTTAAATTAAAGTAGTTGTTGATATGTCATTAATTAAATTTGAGAGTCTTCAATTCAATTTTTTTTCCTGGAATTCAAAATATACTCAAATGACGAAGAAATTGACATAATCTTGATACATGGAAAATGCCAAGAAAATGTTGTGTACCGTCAAGAGTACACTGTAGGAGTCCAATTTATAAAAACTGTCAAAGCTATTGCAGGTATCTATGCTTATATCTTTGAAAAATTTCAAGCAGTACATAGTGGTATCTGAGAATGTATTTTGAGTTGCGCCTGAAAATCGGTCAGGGTCTTTGTTATATGTGACTCAGCCTATACATATACATGCTGCGCCAGAACTCGCGCCCCAGAGAAAAATGCCACCTATAAAAATTACGAAGTTATAAGAGTTTAAATTTTGCACAAGGAAACAAGGAAGCTGTATCGTAAATTGTAACTCTGTTGAATGTTATTTGTTTCTTTTATTAGCAAAATTTTTGTACCTTTACCAAATAATTATAAAAAAAACGTATACAAGATCAACAGTATCATTAAATACACATAAAAAAATGTCAATGTCAAAAAATAAACGTCAAAATTTTTTGACATAAACTCTTAAATATTTTTCACATGTTCCTGGTATCTTATCTTACTTGAAATTTTTCTCTGGGGCTCGAGTTCCAGCGCACCTGTATAATCTTGGTAATTTAGCTTACAGCTAGTCCTAGTTGATAGTTGAAGGAATAATTTTCGGTGAGTTGTATTTTGTATTCTTTTGTCATATTTGTTAAAAAAATTAAATGTAGCTTTTTATTACAATGATTGAAATTATACCATTTTACTTCTTTGAGAGCCATAGTAATTTTATTGAACTGGAAGAATTTTTAGTGACTAAAGTTATACCAAACATAATTACACTTTATTACGTTTGTTTCCATTGATTGACCGGTCCATACAGCAGCCATGAATGTAGTGATTCCAACAAGAAAAGCGAAAGTCATACGAAAATAACATTCTGGTGTGAAATTTTCCTGTTTAAAAAACATTATCATTCAGAGTCATTTTATATTTGTGCTTACCGATAAAATGAAAAAAATAACTCCGATACCTACAAAAGTAGTACAAAGAGTAAATGCAACTATTAGTATTTGCATTTCTTTGACCTTTTTAAGTCGTAAACTGAAAACAGTGGCAATAATTAGAAAATTAGTCAATGATAGAACTCACTTTATCAACTCTTGACTTCTTTTAATTAAAAACTTGAGTCTTTGATTTATTATCGTTTGATAAGTGGAATTGTAAAATAGGTTTTCTTCGTTTTGAGAAATTTCTTCCCAGTCGTCCAGACGTTTTATAAATTCCGCTTTCATTTGTATTTGATAACCGATGTGTTGAAAGTAATACAAAACTTGATACGTAGGTATAAGCATAAGATGACCACGTACAAAAATTGTTGCTCTGTAGAAAAATTCAAGAGTACGACACTGGTTCGGAAAATATTTGTGGATGAAATAATGTCCAAAAAATAAATTCAAATCTCTCGATAATGGATACATAACCAATGAACACATCAAGATCATGAGTAAAGTATTAAAAATAATGAAACATGTTATAAGCTTTATTTGCATTTTAATTTCGAAATGTACTTTTTTACCAACATTGTCTATGGTCCATACTTTAAGCTCATTTTGTAAATTACTCACTAACTTGCTTTTAAATATTATCAGGAGACTAGAGACGATGGGCTAAAAAGCAAAAATTCAGTTCAAGAAAAAATTAAGATTACCACATCAATACATAGAATTCCATAAAAAATTGCGGAGCATAATTAAAACAAAATTCCGTTTTACGGATAGTTAACATGAAATAGACAGTTATTATTTGCATAAATACATCCAAGGCGAGGACCAACACAAGAAGAATTTTAATGGGTTTGAATTGAAAAATATCAGTTGCCAAAAATTTCACTATTTTGAGATAATCATCTGGAAAGTGAAAGAATTTTGTGGGTAAATAAAAGAAATTCGGTTATTTAAGAAACAAACTTGTCATAAATGTTTTCACTTCGAATTCCATTTTATATTACGTCTCAGATCAAATTGAATTCTTTGGTTTGGAGAATGGGGTTAATTGTGGTTGATAAAAAATTAATACATTCAGTAATGACCAACATAATTACTGAGATCATTTGAATAAATTTTAATGTATTTTTACTTTCCTTATCCTCTAAGGCTGAAATTTGACCTACCCAGATTTTTACATTTCTGGACGAATTATAGCTTCAATTATAGCTGTGTGTATGTCTGTAAACAGCATATCTCGAGAACGATAAAAGCTAGAAACTTTAAATTTGGTATGTAAGTTACTTGTAGGAAGGGGACGCACCACGAAACAATTGGTAAAAATCGATCGCAACGTTTGGCCGAAAAGACCAAAAATTAGCCGTAAAGCGGCCGCAAAATTATACGGTTGAATTCATGGGAATAAAAAATATTTAGAATTATGAAATATACCTTATGAAACAGTAAAATGTGATAAAATAAAAATAATAATGGGTGCCAAACTAAAAAAAAAAATGCACCATAGTCTCGAACCCGAGACAACTCTCATCTATTTCGCGTGTAATCTGGTGTAATCTTGGATGTTTTCCAGATGTAAGGATGTTTTCCAGATAAGTGGGATCAGGAAAGTCGTGTGATGTTTACACCAGATTTTTTATTTTTTACGTCTTTAACAACGCTATTAACGCACTAGTTTGAGTGCGTTAACAGCTTAGTATATTTTATGTTCTCAATGTTGGTGGGAAGTAAATAAATGCTTTCAATATTCCCACCAATTTCCAGAATTTCCGGTGGCGTAATTGAAAAAAATCTTGAGAATCCATTTCCAGATTACGCACAATGTCATGTCAATTTGATTTGAATTTTCCAATACTGATACAAGTCACCAACTGTCGCAAAGTTCCCTAAATTTAAATAGCACAGGCCGGTCCACTAGTTATGATTTCGGCGATCGAGATTTATTTTCTTGCAATCACATGAAAACCTTCAGTTTCACTAAAAAAATTTAAAATTTCAATTATTAAATTGTAATGGTCTTTGAAAGCTCTCAGTGCTCTCAGTAAATAAATCAGAAGTTATGATAAAAGGTGCAAGAGGACCAAAAAAAAATTAAAATTCAAAAAGTCTAATTTTTTCTCTTAATTTTTACCGATGGATCTGGAACTTCCAGTTAGATAAAAAAAATACTTTCAAAGTTAAAAAATAAAACAGCGTTTCAATGTCGTAAACAGTTATTATACCTCAGTATAAATTAATTAAGAAAATTAAGAATACAAGTGAATATTTTGATTTCTTTTTGTGATGTTTCAGTTGGTTATTATTCGATTAGTGATGAAGTTTCGATGCAACCACTGATACGACTGAATAAATCCCTCTTACAATCTGAAATAAAAACAGTAGAATTTATAAAATTAACAAAAAAAAACATACGGCCAGTCCAAGTTGATAATTGATGGAATAGTTTTCAGTGAATTTAATTTTACGGTCTTTTATCATGTCTATTAAAAAAAATAGGTACAGTTTTTTATTGGATTGACACCAGGAACATAGAAAAAATGTTTAAAAAATTCTATGTATCAAAAAATTTGGACATTATTTTTTTGACATTTGACATTTTCTATGTCTGATGATGTTGCTCGGAAACATTTTGTTTGAAAATTAAATGAATTATTTTTACTGGACATTCATTCATTGTGCTTACTGTGCATTTATTATTTTTACTGTACATTTATTCTTTTACTGTGCATTTAATTTATAATACAATCGAAATGACTG